TAGAAAAAAATACAATAAGCAATTACACTATTTAATTATCATTTGAAACAGAAGAATTTGCATAATTCTCTGTTGCCTGTTTCTTTTTGAAAACATTAATTGGGAGGCCATTAGGCAGCTAGTGTGCTAGTATCCTGAGTTCCTTACTGGCAAATCAAAGGCCACTGTACACAATGCAGCCTGAGTGTAACCACAGAAACCACCAGCTAACAGCTAGTAGGGACTTTCCACTGAAATCCTATATCTTTTCCATTTGTCTAATCCACCTCCCTCAGCCCCACCCCTAGGGAGGTGCTGAACTGCTTATGGTCTGGAGTTGCTCAAATCCTCTTGAAAAATTTTAGTGTGCCTATGTTTACTTTTCAGTATTTCCAACACAAAACATAAATCAGTACTCAGGCTTTCCACCAGAGTCATCTTGGAATGCAAGAATAGCCTGGGGGCTCTGCATCCAGAACAATTATTGTTCAAACTACCAACTGTATCAGTGAGGGGGTAAATGGCATTTTCACAGGCCTTCTGAGGTTTGGTGCAAGACTGGATACAATTGCTTTTCTTCATGAGACAGACGGTTGACAAAGTTGCTGTCGTGTGCCAGGTACCTTACTGTGCCTGGAAGGATCAGGGAGGAAACTAAGGGAAGTTCCTTTCTCAGGGACTTAGACATAGATGTGTGTGCATTGGGTAAACTTTTACCTCAAGGGAACCAGCGTCCATCTCCGTTATAACCTGTTTCTTGGAAACCCTTTGCACCATACCAAAAGTACCTGCCCTGTCTTAGAGCCCTTGCCAGCTTCTATTTGAAAAAGCCCCAGCTTACAAAACTATTGAGCCTGAAGCATTACTCCAGAAAACAGTAAGGAATGAGAACCAGGAGAAATCCTGAGATTGTCTCTATGAAGGAAGTGATGGGTGGCATGCAAGGCAGATGGGTGAGATGAGGGAGGCTTCTTAGAAAGCACAAGCCGTGGAAATAGCTGAAGTGAACATGAACCACCCAAAATTTGCAGGCCTTGGAGTGCTCTTTTGTTCTACAAACGGATAGCCAACTCCATAGCATGCTTATGCGTTTTACTTGCAGGCCGGTTTGAGCTGGAGCTAGCTGCGGCTCCTGCTTCAGGACAAAGGCTCCATTCTTCCGACAAGCACCAGCAGACTCAGAAGATGTGGAATTAGCATTTGGCATTGACTTTTTCTTCAGTTTAGATTGGGGACATTTTAATGCTCTCTAAGTCAGGGAAACAGTACTACAGAGGATGCAAGGACTGGAAGAATTGGGCTTGATACCATTTGCTGAGCATCAGACTCTCTGACCTGTACACTAAAATGGGATTCTTCCAAGGAGCAAGCAAATGGAATTACTGTACTTTTGTTGACGTTCTCTGTCAGTCTTCAATATAGATAGTAGGCTTTTAAGGTCATCAAAGCATGATAATAAAACTTGAAATTATGTTCAGATCATGGTGATATATACACTCATACACACACACACACACACACACACACACACACACACTCACACTCTCTCATTAAAATGGTATGGTAGGATGACAAAAAGTATGTTCAATCTTGCTGTGTCTTTTCATACCTGTGGCTTTGGTCTATCCCATTAAATCTGTATTTATTTGTGCTTACTCATGTATTACATTTTAGTAGAATGAAAAAATAGAATTAATTGGACTCAGAATATACCAAAACTATATTTTATAAAAAAGGGGATGGGATAGGGAGTTGGTGGGGGGCAGAGGACGAGGGGAGGGAGAGGGAACTTGGATTGACATGTAAAACAAACTTGTTTCTAATTTAAATGAAAAAATAAAACTGCAAAAAAGTGTTAATTTTGGACTTAATTTCTGGAGGTTTTTGTTTGTTTTAAACAGGATTTCACGATGTAGCCCTGGCTGGCCTGGCTTGCTAGGTAGACCAGGCTGGGCTCTAACTCATGGAGATCTGCATGCCTCTGTCTCTGCTTCCTGAATGCTGGGGGCAAAAGCATGTACCACTGTCCCCAGCTGAAGGTTAACAGTTTAGATAATTCACAATTTATGGGAACATGGAGTCCATTAGAAAACACTGTCAAGTGCCACATGGAGATTTATGTCCCTGATCAAACCAAACTTCTCATATCCCTCATCTTTTTTTTCTGTTTTGCTTTTTTTGTACTGGAAATTGAATTTAGGCAAACACTGAGCTATCTCCCCAAGTAGTGCTGGCTCTCCCAGCAGAGAGAGAGAGAGAGAGAGAGAGAGAGAGAGAGAGAGAGAGAGAGAGAGAGATATCTCACACGTTGTTGTTGTTGTTGTTTTGTATGCAAGATCTCACTCAATAGCCGGGGCTGGCCTGAAATCCACTATGTAGCCCAGGCCAGCCTCAAGCTTGTGCTTCTCCTGCCTCAGCCTCTCAACTGCAGGGATTAGGGGCATGAGTCACCACACCAGTCAAGAAAATGTTTAACTCACACTAAAAGGGAAGTAGGGGCAGATGGAAGGGGGACTTCTTTTTGAGTACTTTGTCCAATAGGTTGTGCCCTTCTGTGTGTGTGCAGTGTAACCCTGAGACACCCTGAGTTCATCCTGAGAACAGCACAGGAATTTCCTGTTGAAGAAGTAAGAATATTTCTACAGTGTGCAAGTACTCAGAGACACATCTGCTTCACAGTAGAGTCATCCTGGGAGCAAGCCACCTAAAGCTATGGAGTCCAGCACACAGGGTCAAATCAGCTTCAGTGAATAGCTCTGAAGGATCGGGAATGAAGTAGAGGCCTGTAAGATGGATTTGCAGCCTCAGGAACTTCACTGGAGAGTATAGTGTGGGTGTTTATGGGCTCATTTTGTGATACTATCTCTCCTTTTCCATCTCACTGACCTTCAGAGTTCCTCTTGGCCACAACTAAGGACAGAAAAATCTTAAGGTAGACATACCAATTCTTTAAAGTCAGGGTTAACCCATGGCCAGCGCCAGCTTTCTGAGCATGTGATGTGGGTGATTACAAAGGGTCTCTCTCTTGCAAGCACTCGGACTTGTTTGATGCTCTGTTGATTTGAAATTCTTACTGCTTTTTGAAGAAGGGCTCCATTTATCTGTGAATATGCAGGTCTTCTACCCAAAGCTGTAAAGTGTTTTTTAGCACAGAAACATACCCTGTGTCTCTCATCTTACTGTGCTCTTAGCAATGAGGTGATGATGAGGCTGAGGTGAACCATCCCAGTTTTAATAGAAATTAAATTCTCTATGTACCACGGGGTTGCAGTTCATAGTTTCTGGGATACCCATTTTTGCTTTCATCTGAGCTGACCAGAATATTTTGAGATCGTAAAATATAGGTTTTTGTTTTTGTTTTTTTTGTTTTTGTTTTTTGAGACAGGGTTTCTCTGTGTAGCTTTGGAGCCTATCCTGGCACTCGCTCTGAAGACCAGGCTGGCCTTGAACTCACAGAGATCCACCTGCCTCTGCCTCCCGAGTGCTGGGATTAAAGGCGTATGCCACCAATGCCCGGCATAAAATATAGTGTCCTAGATATTTCCTATTAGACACCAGTGTAGTTACAAGGGGTCAGTGTAGGGTCTTTTGTTTTTTATTTTTACCAGGTTAGAAAACCTGTAAACAAACTAATGTATTGGATCACAGCACACGTGTTAGTACAAGGGTTGGTATCAACCCTTCATGACAGTGGAGATGGTGAGGGTCCCTGCATTGTCCCTCTGTCTCTCTGTTTTCTCTCTTTAACACCCCTTCACCCCACTGCATTTGTGTCCTATCCTACAAACAGTTTTCTGGGAACCTCATCTATAAGCTGTCTCACTCTCTTCCTGCTGTGTGGTCACATTGTGGCTTTGTTCTCAGTGAACTTCATAGTTAGAGAGCTAGCTGAGAATTAACTCCTGCTAAATTGTTACCTGGTATAACTTAAGGTATTACATTGTCACCTGGGGTAAACACAAGATGGGAATTTGTTACTTAACTGCAACAAATCTTAAAGACACAGGGACTGAATTTCCCCCACAGCTGGGGTGGAGGTGTGACCACACCTGAAGATGGCTGCCACAGTGTCTGACTGTTGGCTGTCAGCTTAAGAACTGACATGGCCAAGTGTGGCCGGAGAGGAAAGCGTCCCATTGCTGATCTTTGTTCATGCTGGACTTTTGTTATCCAATAGCTCATTCATACTGGTGACACAGACCTTGCCATGCTGTCCCATTTACAGCAGATGCTGGCACCCCAGAAGTAGTGCACTTTACATCCTCTCCCCGGCCCCTTCCTGGCTTTAGTTTGGAGGTGTGTAAGAAGGTAAAATGTCAAGCTGTGCTCCATCTACTCTACCTCCTGTCTGTCTGTGACAGCAATGGTCCTGTATAAGGTCTCTGGACCTCATCTTCACTCACTTGCTCAAGGGCAGCACTCAAGCCACACACCCCACTTGGATATCATGCCATTTGCATGCTTCTGTGCCTTTTTTCATATCTTCATCAGCAGTAACCATTTCTTTCTCAATCCCACTTCTGGCTCAGCTGACTGACATTTCAGTTTCTCTTCAAATCAGGAAAGCCTGGGAAGCATACCTGCTTTGCTCTCCCGGTGTCTTGCCTCCCATTCCTCTTTGGTCTGTTTTCACCAAGCTCTTATCTGGTATCCCTCTATCAAAATGTTCCTGGTGAAGCTCACCACTATACTTCCTCTTTGCTCAGTTCAGTGGTTTGTTCCAGACCTACTGTCCAATCTTGTCAGCCACATTAATGACACTTCCTTGTTCCTTTCTCACAGTGGCTCTGGGGGACATTTGGGTCTTTGTGTCTTTCATATGTTAACACCAACTAACAATTTTATAGCAGGTGAGATAATAGCAGGGATTCAATTTTGCTTTCTATGACTTGCCTCTTTTGATGGTCATTGTAAAGCATAGACTCAGGACTTGTTTGTAGCAAGAAAGTAGTCTTCAAATTGACATGTTGTCATTTCTTACGTTTATTCTGCTTTTTAGTCACGTCAAAGAACTTCACATGTAAAAGAAATAATTGTTCCCCACACCCAACAGTGGAACTTACATTTGTCAGAGATTGGCAAAAAAAAAAAAAAAGCAGATTCTAGAAATGGGTCTGTGGACAGTGGCCATCCGCCCTCAGGTAGAGAATGTTTCCTAACCACTTCTCCTGGGTCAACAGGACAAGATGGCATGGTTGAGAAAACGTTGGAAAATGCGAAATCACATTCTCCCAGTTCTGATGCAGAAAAACGGCAAACTGCCCATTATTATTTACCTTCCTATCCCATTATAACAGCAAGGAATACAAGAAAATTTGTAAATTTTATTTGCAATGCAGAAGTTAAATTGAATCAAACAGCTGGCAATGCATCTGGACTCTGAATTTAAGTTATAAAAATATCAGTGTGCTAACTTGGCTGGGGAATGATGAAGTCTTTTTCATAGTAATCACACAACTTCGGGTTTTGATGTCATTTGTTACAATGTTGTCTGGAATTCCGAAACTGTTCCATCACGGGTGATCTGGACAGGTCTGGACTTGACATTTGATAGTAGTTGGGTAACCGGATATCATAGTGATGTTTTTTCCCTGTATATACCCTGTCGTTCAGAGCATAAAGTTTATCTGCAATGTCACTGCCAATTAAAACGGAAAACAGGCGGGAGATGTAGCGGTGCTGAGCGAAAAGCAGGTATAATTTTTTTCTCCTCCAAGACACGTACCGACAATCAGTTTCTGCTGTGAGGGTTACCTAAAAACATGAAGACACATAAAACAAACTAGATAGCAAGAGAGTCAAACACAGTTCTTAAAGATTTATTTTTATGTGTATGAGTGTTTGGCCTCCATGTGTGTATGTATACCACATGTGTGCAGTGTCCATAGAGACCAGAAGTGGGTGCCAGATACCCTGGAATTGGAGTTACAGATGGCATGAGCTGCCATGTGGGTGCTTGAACCTAAACCCATGGTCTTTGCAAGAGCAGCCAGTGCTCTTAATCACTGAGCCATCTCTCCACCTCCTTCAATCACATTCTTCTGCCCCAAATTCTAATTAAATTTCTGACTGTCCTCTTAGGCTAAGAAATATTGTAAAAACCTAAGTTATTAAATACTAAAATAAATACATAATTTACTTCTTATCTAATCACAATGCTTGTACACATGCTTCTCTTGATTATGTCTTTCATTTTGCAGAGCTACTTGATATGAGAATGAAAGAGTTAAGCTGGTAAATATCAGAGAAAGATACCAAAAATGAAGATTTTTTTAAACCCTAACATGGCTTCTCTAGTACAATATGGAATACAAATACCACTTTTGCTTGTTTACATGAATTTGAATTTGCAGGTACATGTGTGCTTTGGTTTGTAGGAAACAGTATAATATAATAAATGGGACCAACTGGAATGATTGTCTAATGCTTCCAATACATGACAGACAGAAGTGACAGCAAATTTAAAAGTAACTGAAGTCCATCAAGCATTTTAAATTTTCAAAAGCCATTTATTTTGTAGTAAGTGCAATTTCTTCTCTTGGCACTCTCTAAACTATCACACCCACTGACTGTTTTTAAGGTCAGATCTTAGTTATTACATATTAATCCCCAGATATGAGGCTCAACACAAGAAGTCTAGAGAGTATTCATTATACTCCTTCCTGTCCCCTTCTCTTTGTGATTATGACATCAGTCAGCAGGACTCAGAACTGGGAAGCATGCATGAAGCAAATTGCATCCCAAAGTTAAATATAAATTAAAGCTGTGTTATATATTGTTCCATGTGTATGCTTGCTTGCTTGAAGACTAAGATTCATTTGTTGAGAAGGCTGGGGTGTTAGCCATTTAGCCTATTTAGCCCTCACCTGAAAAATGCCTTCCTCTGTGGGTCGTAGTGAATCCCACTCCGGAGAATCCAGGAACTGAAAAGGGAAGATGTAATGCAGAAATTCGCCATCGACTGTCACTCTGATCCTAGCAAGACACAAGGACATCTTTTATGAGGGGACAGGAAAGTGTGTATACATTTGAGGCTATATTGTGGGGGGATGTCCTTCAGCCTCTGGTGACTTATTCCCTGTTGAATTTTGAAGAACAAAATACTGAGTTCATATACTACCTTAGTGCCCTATGAGATCTGTGCACAGATACTCCTTGCTTAGGCATCTGGAACAGTAGCAGGTGACATTCACCACAGAGTCACATGTATGAGAGGAATCCAGTCCATATGTACACTGTGCTTTGGCATAAGATGGAGTGTCCTCAGTCAGATTTTCTGATTATGTGGAGGGAGTTGAAGAGCATAGTGGAGACCCTCTACAAGCACCTCTGTGACTTTAATCTTTCCAATTACATGAAAAACATATTATTGTTTGTCCCCTCACACTTTGCCAAGTTTAGAGTCTATATATACAGACTCTTGAGCTCTCCACTCCCATTTCACACAAGTAGCAAATGCTAGAATTTACTAAATAAATTTGATAATATAAAATTCAAAGTTCCCAGTTATGCAGAAGAATGCAATAGAGTCTACCTAAAATACTCTGTGTATCAATGAAGGTTCTATTGATTCAAGCTGCCTCAGCCTCCCTGACATTCAATGACTAGCTGCGATGCAGCTACTGCATCCACAGAACTAAATTCATGCATTGGTTTTAAGGCTTGTGAACTTTATTTCAAAGATGGAAGAAGAATCTTGGTTATTTCCTGATTCAAGCAAACAATATCATGTCCTATAAATGCCCACACCTGTGATTCATGTCTCAACCATTTCTCCAAGTCTCAGGGTACTAAATGCCACTCAAGACTATGCTGCACCTAGATGGAAAGACACAGAGCAAAGAAACACACACAGCTACTGTAGAGGAAATATGCGGCACTGGGGTACAAACCTTCCTGAGACAAGCATGGAGAGTCTGTCAATGGAGGTCTTCCCTTGCATGGCATAACAGTGCTCCTTTTCCAAAGTTACCACTTCAGAGCTCAGAGCAATTGTTCTGAAGACAGGCAGAGGGATTCCCAGGGGCTTGAACAGGGAGCTGTACAGCACCTGGAATTCTCGGGCAAATGTTATGCTGTGAACTTGATATGCAGTGTGAACAAACTGCATGAAGCAGATGACAAACAGCACAAAATTCCAGGAAAATATGTCAGCAGCACAGACGTCTACCCACGCCCACACTGCAGAACACAGGAAACCCAGCCCCAGCAAGCTGAAGACATAAAGGAGCCCAAAGAAGCCACTGCCGCCCATAAAACCTACTACAAACAAGATACTGGCGAGCTGGTAAATGGCACCTTCGGCCTCTTGCTTCCAGGCAGTGCAGACTGGGTGTTCACCCACCAGGCTCTTCCACAAACTTGAATTCTTTTCCATGGTTCCACTATCTACTTCTCTTGTCAGTTAACTTCGGATGACACTGAAGCCAGCACAGGAGTCCTTTGCTTTGCCATCACCGAACGTTGCTCCTCACAGGCTAGGAGCTGGCATGACAAGGGGTTTAGTGGGCATGGAGCCAAAAATCTACCAATTCAGCCGTCTCTTTGAGCCCATCTGGGCTCCTGATTTAGACCAAGTCCTCAAAGATGTTGCTATTGCCTGTCTGTGTAAGAGAAAAGAGACAGAGGAGCTAATTCAGCAAAAAGAATGAATGGTGCTTTACTTAATGAATCAACAGCATTACTTATGCAAATTGACTTCCTATTGTTATGAAACCAGGATGTTTTAGGCACAAATATTAATTAAATTTCTAATGACAGCCTATTCACTAGAATTGGCTAGCTATTTCTTTTTTTATTAGTGTATTTTTCTTTTATGTGCATTTTTATGTGTTTTGCCGGCATCTATATCTGTGTGAGGGTGTTGTATCCCATGTAACTGGAGTTGCAGACAGTTGTAAGCTGCCATGTGAGTGCTGGGAATTGAACCTGTATCCTCTGAAAGAGCACACAGTGCTCTTAACCATCTCTCCAGCCCTAGCTAGCTGTTTCTTTTTCAGGGTGTTTAGGTTAGTTTTTAACACAAACTAGAGTCACCTGAGATGGAACCCCAATTGACTAATTGCCTCCATCAGACTGTGTGAGGCAAATTTGTGGGGGCATTTTCTTGGTTAATGATTGATATGGAAGGGTCAAGCCCCTTGTGGATGGTGCCAGCCCTAGGCAGGTTAGTCCAGGGTTGTATGAGAAAGCAAACTCTTTAAGCCATGGAGAGCAAGTCAGTACCATGTTCCTCCATGGCCTTGATTCAGCTCTTGCCTCTCAGTTCCTGCCCTGAGCTCCAGACTTGACATGCTTCCAAGATGGACACTAATCTGTAAGATGCAATAAACACTTTCCTCTCAAGTCAGTTTTAGTCACACAACAGACAGCACTAGGACACAGGGTAACAAAATCCTTTATAGTCAGCTAGTCTCCACAGCAGTGGTACAGTGTAACTCAGAATCACATGACACAATGACTAAAAATGGAGAGCCACAGATTTTCCCCATATTAAATATAATATATCACATATATTAAATAAGGATCCCTGAGGGCAGTTTCCATGGATGTGTTTTTTGAACAAGCTCTCCATGTAATTGTGATGAACCCATGGACCTTCCAAGGTCCTCCTCTCTTGAGAGATACTGTCGGATACTACAGTATTTACAGTTTGTAGATGAAAAAATTGGGGCTCCAAGGAGCAGCCAGGAATATATCCAAGCCACACGACGGTCAAAGCAGACCAGACTTCAGCACCTGTGCTGGATCCAGTCATACCATCTTTCATGGAAGATGGTTTAAACTTGACTTCATAAGGATCCCAAACAAATCAGGAAACAGGAAACACATGGTCAGGAGACAGATCTTTAAGAAAATGTTTACTAAGCTAAATTCAGACAATTTAAGAAAATACAGTATAGTACAGCATAATTTTTCTGTATTAGTGGCCCATCAAATCTATATAAACAATGTACTTATTAATTCCTGTTATAAATTTATCAAATGGTCAACAATATTATTGACTGTGCACCTCTGCTCATATATTCTCTTCTCTTTCAACCGTGTGGCAAAATGCTAGCGAGGGACCTGGGTCTAGAGAGAAGTGGGCATGATGACGGAGGTCCAGGATCAGTGCACCTTTCACCACAGCACGCCTCACTGCCAAGTGTTCTTCAGGTGGAGTCGTAATGAACACTAGCATACAAAGATCTCAAATGTGGATGCTGTATTTACTGTCTTCCAGGACAGCCTGTGTCTCAGAGGGAAAAACAAAGCTCCACACACATTAGTGAGCATGTGTCACTGAGTGGGAAGGCACAGCCATCACACAGAACCAGAAACTGAAATGAGAGTGCTCCTGCTTGGTGCTCTTCAGCCCTTGCTTGATGCTCCTCATTCGTGAACCTTTTCTCAAGCAATGAGAGCCCTGCCAGGTGAATCAGAAAGGAGAAGGAAGGGGAGAAAGAGGAAGGGGGCCTGGAGGGAAGGGACGAAAGGCTCAGATATACAACTTAGCGCGCTACTGTCATTTTTACTTGTTTTAAAAGACACTTCAATCATCTTGCAGATCCCTAACTCCAGTCAGGCTGTGAGACACACAACTCAAGCCAACCAGCATTCTGAGCATGCTCAGTTTCTTCTCTTGGAAAACAACACACAAAATTCTATTCTATGAAACTGCCACAACAAAGAACAGCTCTTACAAATGCAAGGGTGAGTGAGAACTGCAAATACCAGCCCGCAAATGTCACTCCTGCTGTTTTACTTTAAAAAAAAAACTGGGGCAGTTTAGCTAATCAATTCTTCAGAATACTCAGCACAGCCACGAAAACCAATATGAAAAGAATTGCTAGTAGGTCTCTGAATTTTGGTTTGAACTTCCTTAAAAATTTATAATCCTCATGGAAATGTTAAGATGATGCTGATATGAGAAAGGGCCTGTAAAACATTTATGGTGATTCAGAAGGGAGCACAGGGGAACCATCGCTTAAAAACGCTTGATTTGGAGGGTATGTCAGGGCCTCTATGTTTCAGAAGTGTGAACCAGGGCGGTTCTAGGAGGAGCTGTGCTTCTGGCCTACTTCTGTTGCACTGAAGTTGCTCACAGGCCTTCTGTCTGTCCTGGACACAGTACCGCTGAAGCTTCTTGACTGGCCCCAATTGAATTACTCCACACCCCTCCTGGTGTGTTTGTATCCAGTCACCACAACAGATGTGCTTTATTAGAAGAGGAAGGACTGACAGCGCCAGGTGATGGGCAGGAAAGGGCTTCTGCCATGTGTCACGATTGCTCTGATGGCCAAACATGATTCATCTGCCAGCTGCCTGCCTCACAGACCCCCAGGCCTGGTCAGTTTTGTGTGTAAACAACTGCTGAGAAGCCCAAACAGCACAGTCTTCCCCAGGCAGTAGCTGATCTTGCCCACTGAGCTACAAATGGTGGAGACCAACACTAGCAAAATAACACAGCACTTCCATGTTTATCCAGCTTTTCTCCTAACCCTTATTCTAAAGGAATAAGATTCATATAATGATCAAAGCATACTTAGTGGCAGGCGGCATAATTGGTTGCATGCTGATGAAGATTAGCCTAGAACTGTGCTTATCTGCTTCCAGCACTCAGTTATTATCACCCTGCCCAGGCGAGGCAGGATCTAAACCATCATGCAAGCATGGGGAGCTGGGCACAGCCTGGTGAAGCCCCTGGCTACAGGTGAAAGGGTAGTTAGTCACATCTCACAGTACGGATGCTCAAGTGCCCTCTGCTCAGCTCGCCCTACCCAGGACTCAAAGCTTCCGATCAGGTAGTGTGAAGCACTGGGCAACACCTCTCAGTGGACGTTTAAGACCTGCTGTGTCCTCTTGTACTGCTTGGTTCATAACAGTCCACTTCTGACACACAAAAAGCCACTGGTGAAACCATTCACTGTATTATTTGATGCTGACTGATTCTTCCACTAGAATCTGAAATTTGAAAGAGCAGCAGGCCAGAGACAGATGTTATTGCGTGCCTGACCCCAGGCTGTTGGCTGAATATGCTGGGATATTCCACCCCTAACATGCGTTGTTGAAATACCTCTGGGTGCCCTGGAACACAAATGCAGGGAAGAGCCCAACCTTGGAGATACTTCAGCACGGATACTGAGGAGTTGGGGAATCTTCCCCCCAAAAAACATCTGGACAACCACAAATTCACAGGGGAATCCTTGGGCTACAGCCTTGAGGTTCTTAAGAACATTTAATTACTGCTTTGATAAAGACAACAGCTAGTCTGGTACCAGTGCTATTGAGTTAGTTTGGGTTGCCAAGCAACCCACAAATTCAACATTCCAATATTCTACTCATTAATTAAAATCAGATCCCAACTTCAGAATGTGTTCCATATGCTAACTTCTCATCTTCTTTAGCTATCTTTTTTTGTTTCTAATTACCCTCGAGATGGTATATTTACTGAGCACCTATGTGCCAGGCAGATTTTTAAAACTCTCTCACTGAACAGTCCCGAGAGGTAGGTGATTTTATCTCAATCTCATGGATGAGAATTTTGAAATTCAGAGAAGGTAAATAAATTGTCCAAGATCAAACTGCTTAGATGTTACACATATTCTCTACCGAACCAATCTGCTTCCGCTACACACCACCTGGACTTGGAAGCCACTCTGCCCTCTTTTCTTGCTGTACATGGAGAAACATTTAGCCCCCAACAAGCAGGGAAACACCACCTATTCTTGGCACCAGAAACCAGTTAAGGTGGCAACTCCAGAAATCCCAGCACCCAGGAGGCTGAATTAGAAGTCAGCCTAGGCTACATGCACACCCAGACACATACACAGAGTTACACACATGCACACAGAGACAGATACACAGATATACACAAACACGTATACACATGAATGTAAGAGGAGAACTTGTTGGGAAGGAGGGATTCACAGTGGGAGGATAAAAAAGGATATGGGGAATAAATATGGCGTCTTAGAGTTTCTATTTCTGTAACAAGACACCATAACCACAGCAACTCTTATAAAAGAAAACATTTACTTGGGACTGGCTTACAGTTTCAGAGGTTTAGCCCATTATTGTCATGGTGGCATGCAGGCAGACATAGTGCTGGAGAAGGAGCCGAGAGGTCTACATCTGGATGCACAGGCAGCAGGAAGAGAACTGTGACACTGGGTATAGCCTGAGTATATGTGAGACCTCAAAGCCTACCCCCTCAGTGACACACTTCCTCTAAAAAAAGGCCACACCTCCTAATATTGCCACTCCCTAAGGACCAAGTAATCAAACGCATGAGTCAATGGGGGCCATTCCTATTCAAACCACCACATTTGGTCAGAATACATTAGTACATGTAACTGCATAATGTTTTAAATTGCAAATAAATAAACAGTACATGGTTCAAATGAAGAAATCCATTTCCACCCTCATTATTAAAATAATATAGACAGTACCACTGAACTTGTTGCTTGTATTTTACAGAGCTCAACCACTGAGACTACTATAGTTTTTAAATCTACCTTTCTTTAGAGGACTACGACTGAAGACAGGAGTATGTTGGCTGCTGTCCATCATCTTTAATTATAAATGTGAAGTTGGTGTAGTCCTGCCGCAGTGATCTCTTTGCTGTTATCTGTAGTTCTACTCTCATGTCCTTTTTCTTTTTCCAGCTATCTGAAGCACTAGATGGAAATATGGGCCCAACATTAGATGCCAAAATATAGTGAGATGTTTCACTCTTTGGGCTTTTCAAGGGGCCCACCACCCAGCTACCAAATAAATCGTGTACGAAGGCTTACTTTTAGATATAAATGCCAGGCCTCAGGTTGGCTTGTTTCTTGTCAGCATTTCTTAACTTAAATTATCCCATCTACCTTTTGCCTCTGGACCTTTTCTTTTTCTTACTTTTGTTTATCTTACTACATGGCTGGCTGGGTGGCTGGGTAGCTGGCCCCTAACATCCTCCTCTCCTTGTTCTCTCTTGGTTGCTTCTCCTTAAAAACCCTTCTCCCCTGGCTCCTCCCTTCAACCTCCTGTCAGCTATTTGCCGCCCCAGCCACCTGACTGCTGGTGAATTTTATTTGATCAAACATATTTTTGCATAATTAAACAAATGTTCCAGAACATAAATAAAAGTAACACACCTTAAAATAATGTTCTACAAAAGTTATCTTCTCTAATTTGTGAGATGAATTATTCTAGTTATTGTCTTTTTTAAAAATGTTTTTTTAAAAAAAATAGTTGATAGCATTGAAACAGGAAAGCAACAGGGATTTCCTGAGATTAAATATATACCCTACACAACAAGGCTATGCATTTTTATGTTTGAATTTTAAATCTATACACACTTTAACAGTTGATTGGTTAATACTTGACCATTTGAGAAACTGAGAGTAAACTTAGTTGTGGGTAGGGTAGAGGTGTACAGAGCCTTAAAATGCAGTAAGTTTAGAAAATAAAGGTCAAATAAAATAGATGGTTTTGAAGTTCATCAGTAGTCTTCCAGCCTCTCAGGTACCAAATAGTTTATGTTTTGGCATAATAGACAACACAGGAGTCAGAGTAGGAGAACATGTAATAATAGGCTTTGCATCTTAAAGGCAGAGACTTATATCATGCCTTCCTACTGTTTCTAATGTAATGTTTGTATGATATTGGAACCTGTACTCATATGTCATGTAAATAACACTTTATATTTTTCAGAGTCTTTTTTTTAAACTTTGGGGAATCTTCTGTTGTTAATTTAATAAAAGAATAAAAGAGCTAGAAAAAGAAAAAAAAGTTATCTTCTGCCCTGTGTTCTGCCACCCCCCCCCCCATTCATCCTATGGACCTAGACCACCCTTCTTTCCAGAGGGCAGAAAGCTCCTCTCTGGAAGCCAGCAACAGTTTTCTGCCTTAGTTCATTATTTCCTAGAAGGTCTTCCCAAGTTAGTCACATCAGAATCACCTTGGTGGCTAAACTGCCCCCTCATTGTCCAGCAGGCACCCTTCTAGCAAGCCTGTCAGATGATTCCTAGGCACCCTAATGTTTGCTGACTAACATCTGAATTACCCTTGCTTATCTGGACCTCAGCTGGGTCATTCCAGGAAGACCCTTGTTGCTGCAATGCTGCCTAATAGGTGGATGCCCTGGGTCCCTAGCTGTGTCTCTGTGGGAGGAGTACTGGTGATCACTCACCTGTCTGTTGACTGGGCTAGCGAGTGCACATTTCTGGTCAGCAGAAGGACCCTTATCTCACTGTGCCCATAAGTACTGTGTGGCGTTAACCTTGTTTTCTCATTGATCAGTCAAGGAACTGGGCAACATATTACAAGTCCCTGTAATCTAAAACAAGAGACTCGGTGTAATATGGAATGAGATCATTGCAAATGCTGGTCAAAACATAGCATTGATTTGCACAGTTGACTCAAGACTCAAGATCTCAATAGGTTTGGTCTTGGGCTAACTCCAAAGACTGTTAATAGGCCTGTCATGTGCTCCAGCTAGGGGCTATTTTCATAAACTTCTTGTAATTTTGATATGTAATGAGAATGAAGGACTACAGTTAACCCAAGGGGAGGAAGAAGGGAACCAGAACATTCTGCAGAGAACAAGCTTTGGATTGTGACCCTCATTTTAAAGGAAGTGCAAGGCACACATTCTTTTATGCTGCTACAATTTGGTTCTGAAATGTCCTTACTAAGTCCAAATCCCAAGCTTGATGCTACTAGGGTGTGGCTGAAACTTCAAGAGGTGGGACTGCTTAGAAGTTCCCAGTCACCAGGGGCATGCACTTGAAAGGGGGATATTGGCATATCAGAACTTTCCTTCCTTCCTTCTTTCTTTCTTTTAAAAATTTTTTTTTCTGCCTGGTTACAAGGAGGTGATCAGATTTGCTTTAGCACATGCCTCCTACCATGTTCTTCACCACAGACCAAACAGCGGCAGAACTGGGGCTAAAGAGATGATCCAACAGTTTACAGTGCTTGTTACTCAACCATAAGGACTACAACCATGGCCAAGGCAACTCATAAAAGAAAATGTTTAATTTGGGCTCATGGTCCCAGAGGGTTAGAATCCATGCCCACTATGGCAGTAAGGATGGCAGCACCCAAGCAGATATGGTGCTGCAGTAGTAGCCAAGAGCTTACATCAGGAGGCACAGAAAGGTAGCTAGGATGGCTTTTAAAACCTGAAAGCCTACCCTGAGCGACATACTTCCTCCAACAAGGCCACTTCTTAATCCTTCCCAAACAGTTCCACCAATTGAGACCAATTATTCAAATATAAAAGCCTATGGGGGCCACTCTCATCCAAACCACCACAGGACCAAGATTTGTATCCTGGAGCCCATATTGCATGTGGGAGTTTGAATGTGACTGGCTCCCATAATCTCATAGGGAGTGGCACTATTAGTGGGAGTAGCTTTGTTGGAGGAAGTGTGTCACTACAGGCTTTGAGGTTTCATATGCTTAGGATACCACCCAGTGTATCAGTCTACTTCCTGTTCCCTGTAAGCCAAGATGTAGCCAGCACCATAACTGCCTGCATGCCACCATGTTCCCTGACATGAAGACTGACCCTCTGAAACTCTAAGTGAGACACCCCAATTAAATGCTTTCTTTACAAGAGTTGCTGTGGTCATGGTGTCTCTTCATCACAATCAAAACCCAAACGAAGACATTGGGTAGCATGCACATACCTGTAACTCTAGATCAAGAGACCTCACAAGCATTTTCAGCTTTCACAGGTACCCCTTCAGGCACACATATGTTCATTCATTCACTCACACAGAGATACATACACAGAGGCATGTGAGCACAGACATAAATAAAATAAATCTTTTTAAAGAAAGAATCTCTCTCTTTTTTTTTTTTGGCTCCGGCTGACCTGGACCTGACCTGACTGTGTAGACTAGCCTAGCCACCAACTCAAATAGCTCTTCCTGCCTCTGCCCTTTGACTGCTGGGATTAAAGGCATGAGCCACCATAACCAACCCCCAAAACACAAATTTAAAAAAAGGATAAGCCAACCTCAGATATAACTCTTCAAAGTTGTGAAAGAACCTCCCCTCTTTGTCAGGTGGTCACTCTTAAAACACCTGTCACAGTAAAAGAAAGCTAGCACAAGTGTTCGCATTTCTCTTCTTAGGAAAGGTGCTATTTTTCTTTCTCACACTAATCATTCTGAAAGAGCTCAAGACTTGTGGATATTTTGTAATTGACAGGCACTTTCTATGTTGTGGCTTTTTAATGGTCTTTTATGTTTTTTATTTTTCATCTTATGTGTATGATTGTATTGCTTGCATGTGTATTTGTTCACTAGGTGCATGCCTGATACCCCTGAAGGTCAGAGGAGGGCCTCAGACCCTCTGAAACTGGAGTTACAGACAGTCATGAGTCTCCATGTGAGTGGTAGGAACTGAGTTCTCTAAATGTTCCTGAGCAGAGTCAGGACTTTAGGAACTGTGCTGTGAAGTGTGGCGACTGTAGCCATGTTGACAATGGGTTCTGAAGACAGGAGAGAAGTGAAAATGTGTTGCTCATCATTCTAACCGATTAAATTTTGAAATGAGAATGCTTTGGAGATAGTGAGTTAAACAAAATCTATCATTAGAGCTATTTCCACCTGTTCTTACTGAAAAACAATGTTGCGCCGGGCATTGGTGGTGCATGCCTTTAATCCCAGCACTCAGGAGTCAGAGGCAGGCAGATCTCTGTGAGTTTGAGGCCAGCCTGGTCTCCAGAGTGAGTGCCAGGATAGGCTCCAAAGCTACACAGAGAAACCCTGCCTCGAAAAACCAAAATAAATAAATAAATAAATAAATAAAAACAATGTTGCCACTGGGAAAATTAAAAATCATGTTCTGGGGGCAGGTGGTGTAGATAGAGATGGTGCAGAGCACTCTGGCTGCTCTTCCAGAGAATACAGGTTCACTTGCCAGCATGCACATGGTGGCTCATAGTGACTTGTACCTGCAGTTGGAGGGTATCGGATACCTTCTTCTGGCCTCTATGGGGACTGCACACACATGGTGCTCAGACACACATGCAGGCAAAACACATAAGAGTAAAAATAATAAAATCTTTTAAAAATTGCATGTGGCTTGCTATATAGTTCTATTGACC